TGATTCAATATTTTTATATTATAAGCATTTCAAAATTAGTGATTATTTTTTTATGTTATGGACACATGAAAATATAGTGCGTAAGTGATTTTTCACTTATTCTGTGTTCAAATTTTCGTGCCAGTTATATTACCGTTCTTTGACAGCAGGTGGCCTGGTCCGTCCAACACGCTTTGATATACCGAAATCATACTACGATCTAATAGAATCAATCTTCTACGACTCGGTAACTCGAGAATTGTGCGTTGATTCGAACAGTGGACACACAATGCAACGGCAGCTAACTGTAAAGCTTTTCGGTCGACACGCAGGAATTTTAAACGTATACCTTCTACATTTACGACAAATATGTGAGCATTCGTACAAAACAACTGACGGTGGGTTCGCGTGCAATTTTCGCATACAGCGGGGGCATGAGCGCGCACCGCCATCGAGCAATTATTTTAAATACATTTCAACAAATGACGGTAATGGCGGCCAACTTTTGAAATGAGTCGAAAAAAATATCGCAACCGATGAACAATATTTTTTTGACCCGATGGACATGCAACCTGCATACAGTTATGAAATCGCCTTTTCTTTGATGCAAATTTGAAGTTATGAATGTTACAATTACCATTCTTAATTCGATTTATTTTCAAAAGATGGTATAATTTTCTTTTTGGTAATATTTTACTTAAATTTTACGATACGAATAGGATAAGAACAACAACTTATATGGTGTAATTTCCTTAGTAAAATGATATTTGAATTGCATTTTTCTGCAAGAGTTGAGAATGAAAGTAGAGACTGCTTTTATTTATTTAATTTGTCTTTTCAATGCTTAAAAACTTAGGAGTTACTGATTTCAATAAGTATTTAATATAATCTCACTGATTTAAATACGTATTTTAAATAGGCGGACTAATGAATTAGAAATAAATTCAGTTTACTTTGTTTTATAATGTAAATGTTTGTGTCTCATTACCGCCTGTTCCAAATGTACCTGTAACAATACCTTTAAAATTAAAACATTTTTGAAAACTTCCAAATCTTCGCCAGCTATGGATTTAATGGCAGGGGGGACCAATATAACAACTCTGTTTAGCGCAGTGCTCCCATCAAGAGCGTTATCGTCCCCTAATCCGGTCCCCGGTGATATCGTAAACCAGAAATGGTCTTGTAAGCGAAACCAGTTCCGCGACCCATCGCACGCACCCAACCTCTCTGTACTAGAGAAAACGCAAACGCACGCCGTTGCAGTTCGCAAATGCGTACGACTCACTCAATCGGGGCCACCGCAAATTCAACCTTGGAATGATCGCTCAGAGTTCAAAATCGAGCAGCCGTTATCTAATCGTCTGAGTCGTTTTTCGAGCATAAATATGATGTTTATTGTCACGCACGGGCACAAGAGGTGTCATTGGTGCAATTATTGCAAGTGGCTCGTTGGCCTCCGAGCTAAATACGCCCATCATGCTCTTCGACTTAACTGCCCCGCAGTTGGCATGAAACGCTACGCAACGTGCATAAAGGATACAGGAGTGCGCATCTTAAATAGATTGGAGAAAAAGTAGCTTCTATATTCAAGATAACGACCAAGGTCTTAGTCGAAGACAAAGGTGTCTTCGACTATAGCCTTCATTTAGCCGTTTGCCTGCTTTCTTGAAGCATTTTATAAATTCAAAAAAAATACCCCATGAGAAATGAGTTTTTTTTTATATAATTCAGAACTGAAAAGATAGTTTGTTAAACATTTTTCGTCGCTGTGGGATTTGAGTCTGCGTCTTGCGGTTGACGCCCAGACACTAACCAACTGAGCAAAGCTTTACCGCATGGTAGCACTTTAAAATAACATTTTACATTGAATATTTGAACGAGAGAGTCGCCGTTGGTATTCAATTTTAATGATTAATTTTACTTTTAGCGCTTATCTCTGCACTTTTAATAAATTCTGTTCATTTAATTTTATCGCAAAGTAAATAACATTGAAAGCAACAACATGATAAAATACATCTATACATCTATATGTAGAATAGACTACTATACTACTCTATAGTAGTCTATTCTAAAGCTTATTATTACCTACAAATACCGTCGGGCCACGGTCATCAAACAAACAATACGTGTTTATGTTTCGTAAAGCAAAAACTGATCAATACAAGCCAGATCAAAACTTGATATAAGTGGATGGTAGATTACTAAACCTCGTGGCTGGTTTTAAACCAATAAACAAGCTTATATAAAAATGAGAAGGGAATAAAATTGACATTTACATTGTTTCGTTATTAATCTTATAATATGGAAGTGGATAAATATTTAAATAACTTGAATATAATTATAGAACCTTTTTAAAAAAAGGCTTATCTATCCTTGCTCCTACGGCCTATGTGCGTAATAGACAAATAAGCTATAATATATATCTTAACTTGAATTTTGTATGCGCAATTAAATCTTTTTGTGACTACCTTTGTATATTATCGCTGTGATCCTATACAAATAAACATATCATCTACAAAGACTGTCGCCTTACTAAATGTTATTCGTGGGTAACAGCTGTTGTCACTCTCATTCTAGGCTAGCATCCTGTCGCTTATCCCGTAAATGATGACGTGCATTCGCTGGATTTCCTTTATTAAGTTTATTATGACCATTCGATGGCGTTTATCACTACGTAACGCATCCAGTTATGTAAGCGTTTATACATATATATTTATAATACAACGAAGTAGCTTTTGTTGCTCATAGCAGTATTAGACCGATACACTTCTCAAGTTACATGATATCCGCTGTCGGTAAGCCGGTGGCCATTTACGAAACTATTAGTCGAATATTCGGGGTTGCCCTTAAATGGCTTCACCTACTGACCTCCCCAAAAACGGCTTGACACTAAATATATAAAGTTCATTAAACAAATAGTCAAATCCTATTATCCGAGTACCGAAGCAGTGGTTCGACGCCCATATGCCATGAAAACTTAGTAGTTACGACTAACTTAGTAGACCGTTGTTTACGTAGGATCAGTTGAATGTTTTATTTTTAAACTCAATAAGCATTAACAAGAAAATATCAAATTTAATATAAAGTAATATTATGAAGTTAAATATGAGATATTATGATCTTTTCTTCGTAACTAAAAAGAATTCTTGTAATCAGTTTCATTACTTCACAAGATAGATAGGTTTCATTTTCATTTAAATAAAAGATTCATTTTAGAAGTTTGAATATTTGTAGATTCCATGCAATAGTTTTTGATTACTATTAGATGATCGAACACAGTTGTTAAATGAGTTTATTTGGTTATATATAATGTTTAAATCTGTGATATGGATAATATAAAAACGTTATTTATTGTAATGTATAACGTTGTGATATGGTGAATAGATTAACTAAGTAACTTAAATTTGTATGTCCATGTCGATTGTTAGGGTTCTATACCAAATGGGTAAAACGGTATGAAAGTTAAAATAAAGTTTAATTCTTTATGGTCTTTATTTTATTCTTTGTGGAGCAATAGAAACTAGTGCCTCGTCCTACAATGTTAAACCCCTCTAGATATTCCTCGATGGATATATATCTAACCTCAAGATAGTCTTAATGGTCGTCAGTTTTTATATTAAAAACCCTACCAGAAAAAAGTAGAGGCGTATATGTAAAAGTATAGGCATCATATCTTATGTGATGTATCTAGCATGCATTGCATAAAATAGAATATAAAGTTAATTATACCCAGTCACCCATTATCCGTTTCAATATTAATATTGAATTAATTTTTTTCTCCGCACTTCCGTCTCTTTCAAAAAATAAAAACCGTGCCACGGCAAAAATTACGCTTTAAATCTTTAAAGAGATCATTGTCCGAGTTTGTCATTTTATTGATTCCGTTTATGCGAGTGACTTTTTCAAGTACCACCTTTTTGCATGTAAGTAAAAACTCAATAGCGGTATGGTTTTTTCTGCTCAGTTTTTGATATTCCTTTTTATGAATCTAAAATGATATTGTGGACTGTAAAGTTAACTTGCGCATTGTTTAAATTATGGAAGGAGAGTATCGATTGCTCTTCTAGGAAAAGCAGTAATTCCATTTTACAGTTACCTTATACCATATGACCTTTGTTACCTTATATCTTTACGTAAGCAGTAATGTATGAGCATAAAATACTATACAGAAAATTAATATTATATTCTAAAATAAATATTATCAAGTACATACTTCTTACAAAAGGCTCTTACTTGACTGTCTAAAAACAAGTTGCGTTTTGTGCCACCATAATAGATAAGCGAATTTGATGGCTAACTATATAAGAAGAATAAACAAATAAATAATACAAAGAGGTTAAGTTAGATATAATAATTTTGTTACGCTTATGTAATAAGCGCATTAGTGAACAGGCATAAGATCAAATGGATACGCGCAGTTAAACTCATTGGGTCGTGATCGCTCTTGGCGTTTTCAATGTTTTACGCAACCGGGGAATATTTTAACATCCGCCGTATATTCTTGTCATTATTCTCAAAGGCTTTGCTGCCTCGTAAATCTCAGTCAAATTAATTGTCAATCAATCGTCTCGGATCACTTACAAATTACTAACTAAGGACCTACACATTAGAGGGCTATTATATTTCAAAACGTGAGAAAAAGGGCGCTAATTTATTTAATCGTTAGCGAACCGCCCTAGCTTCGCAAGTGTAGTAATAATTAAGAAAAAAAGAAATCTGTGTTCTAATGCGAAGTTTTTTTGGAAGATTTCATGAAAACGGTGCAGCCCTTTTGAAGTCTATAGGAAACATACAAACACGTCGATACTCACGTCGATTTTATATAAATAGATTAGAGGAAAAGCAAAATTATGGATATTTCGAGTTTACGCTGGTCTCGTGTGAGGCTGAAATATTTTCAAATAACAACAACGGTTGATGCTACTGGGCGGCTACTGTATAGACAAAGTATTGTAACTAGGATCCAAACATTGTTTCAATGACTCAACTGTTTTCACTTTTATTTTATAATCACAACTTACCTTCGGATATAAGTCGCTCTCGAATTTCCCATGCGAAGATCGTCGGATTTTCCCTTTTGTACTGCTCTATCTTCGACACTACCGCCGGCGTTGCAACCTTCGGCTTGCTACCTCCAATGAGTCCCGGCGGCCGTAATGTACCTGTGTTATATAGATCTGTTGAATTCACTTCTCTTAAAATCATGTCGAATACAGACCAAGGCTAGATGGAAAGAGTCTACACTTAGCATATTTAAACTGTGGTACGGCCACGCAACACTCTTAGGCTAACACTAATAGGCAGGTCCATCCGGGTAAGTACCATGACCTCACAGAAGACCGGCGTGAAGTGAAAGTGTTGTACTTCTGCGTTTCGCCTTGTGAGTGAGGTGCCAGGGCACATTTTATTAAAAGGTGGCAATGCATCTGCAACCCTACGGTTGTTCCAAGTTTCAATCGGCCATCTCTTATCATCAGGTGAATCGCCTGCTCGTTTACCATCTTCTCAGTCAAAAAAAGTTTTGGACTGGACCATAGTGGAAACATAGAAACATAGTATTAAAGAGATTGAGAGAGATTAAAGAGATCTCTTTAGCATTAAAGAGACTTTTATGTATCTTTAATACTAAAGAGATCTCTAATATATATTATTAACACTTCTATTGTAGAGCCAACCGCTTCTGCTTCTGCGGCTTCGGTTGCAAGAATGGGCAGGTTTAACCGGGGAAGGACACATTTCACTTTTTTAAAGGCTGAGAATGCAGCTGTAAACCCTGAGATGGTGTTGATGTCCTTGAGCGACGTTAATCACTTAAAATCGAGTGAAAAGAGAGTGATCTTTCCTCATAAAACAAGGACCAACAAATCAAGTAAATATCAGTTTGGCGCTTATTGACATCTCTGGGTGACCCATAAGATAATTAAAGCATTGCTTTAACACATTCAACGGGGTGCATCTTTGTCAATGGCATTAATTTAACAGGCCATATTTGAAAAACAAAGTCCGCCGGGGAAAAACTGACACCTGCTACATTCCGTCACACAGAAATGTAAACGTTAAAATCAACCTGAAACCAATAATAAAAATGCCACTAATTGCAACACGTTGACAATTGATGCAATTTCATTGAGCGTCAAACGTGAGTATGCGACATGGTCTCGGGGCAATAAAATTTTCAAATAACGAAAACGTAGTCGATAACCGATCAATACTAACCGATATAGCAATAGGGCTCACTTTTCTATAGCGTTCTTAGGTCTTGTTGACACCGCCACGCTCAAAGGGAAGGTGGACGGGGTAAGCCAAAAAAGCTGATAATCAGAGCGACTGCGCAGAATAACAATGGAACTGCAAATTAGTATTAATTACAGAAACAATGAAATTGACAAAATGAAGCCGGGGCAGCGAGAGCAGAATTTATAATTCATTTTTATACATTTTATATAACTACACGCTTTCATTTTGTACGATTAAATTGCGGTCTGTCAAAGGACTAATTGAATTGTGTGATAGTTTAAAAAAAAGTATGGTGGAATCGACATCGATTGATTAGGTCCCTTAAAGATATTTTATAGTACCTAATAAATAATGATAGATGCTATTACAACTTTCGCATTTTTACAACATTTTTACAATTGTTAACAAGTAGTTATTTAGAGTAGATCATTAAAATAATTAACATCTTATTGCGATATGAAAATACTAAGAATATTTTCATATCACATTTAATTCCTTCAGATACTGACGATACAATTATATCAGCAGCATTTTTAAAATTCTAATAAAGGTTTATCTAAAATACTTAAATAGAGTAAATATCGGTGAGGCTAACGAATCTTAGAATTAATGGGGCCTAATTAAAAATCAACATTTAATTATTCCGTCAATAACACAAGCCCAGGCCCGGTAAAAAGATCTCGAATGTTCCTAATTCAGTTAGATAATGGATGAGTGCGTGCCCAGAGACAATCATACAAAAAGGCATCGGGCGTTGCATTCCGGCAGGCGGCCGCGCGCTCCTTTTTTGCCAACCGCCGCAACTGATGGACTCCATACAGATCACGCTGAATAATTCAACACATTATTTATATTCTCATTTTTGTCAACGCCATTCAAGATAAATTCATAAAGGTCTTTATGTCTTGATAAAAGTAATGCTTAAGTCCGTAAATGGCGTTAAGCGCTAAAAACACCCTGGCTCACGCTTACCACGTACTGCGGTGTCGGCCATATTTAAACATTTTTAATTTTTATACGCTCTAAAGTTGAGATTTTCAATTCGCGTGGAATTCTCGCATGCGACCAAAAGAGCAGAAGATTTATTTATGAATCCCGCATGTCTTATAGCATGACTATTTTATTCAAAATATTACTTAGCTTTTTATGTTTTAGATCCGTGATAGCTCAGTGTCCGGGCGCTCGTTTAATTACATTTACCCGAGCAACCTGAGTTCGATCCCTGGTGCCAGCACCAAAGAAATTGTTAATTTTAAGTGCTGAATTATCACGTGCTCGGCGGTGAAAGAAAACATTGGAAACCAGCGTATTTTCAATGTATTTTTTTAAAAAAATATTTCGAAAATATGTGCAGTCCGCCAATCCGCAGTGGGGTCGCGTGCTGGACTATGCCCTGATACCCTCGTTACAGAGGAGCCCTTTGCCCAGCACCTTAAAATTTATATTAATATTATATTAAAATTATATTAATATTATATTACATTAAAAAAGTTTATAGGCGTCAGATCCTTCAAAGTTACCAAAATAGGATGAGAGAAAAAAGGATAACAGGTAAACTTGTGTATTAAATGCCCCGTAAATTATCCACAAGCAGACGTATAAGTTGCATTCGTAGCTTCAAATGCAACTCGACCATTCGCAGTCTATATTTTGCAACAGTGATTGAAAACCGATATAGCAGTTTTGTCTGCGCTCGGTGCGCCAATAAGCGTACCGCTCTATTTGATTGATAGGTAAATTGCGGGAGGCCGGCACACTGATCATTTCGCGATAATTAAATCGGCTAGGAACGTAATCGCATGACCGGAGCCAATTACCCGTAGCCGGCGCGGGCCGATCGTGTGAGGTACCTCTGAAATTGTTATTATTTGCGTGAAACTCGAGCGCTCCTGGTCGTACCGCAGATAGTTCGCTCTTTCTGGGCGGCGCGCCGTTTAAAATGTTTCGCATTGCACGATTCGGTGCGCTTACCGTTGAACATTATTGCAACTATAATAACGTCAAACACTCGCCGCCCGTGGGACAACAGAACGTGGAAACGGGACGCAGCCTGTTGTGCTCTCTGTCGCACTTACGGGTCTCACGGAGAGACATATGGTGGTGACCACCACTATCACCTCGCCGTAGAATCCGTAAGTGCGAAGGAGCGCGTTCTGCGGCAGCAAATGTTTGACATTAGTATAAACACTCGCGCCCGCCACCAAAAGGAACAAGCAGAGACTACGGTTTTGAACTTTCAGCCATCGTGAACCTCTTCGAACTTCAAATACTCATGGAAATGAGCATGCGTTCTTGTCGATTTCAGTATGCTTATTGAGAAAGAAATGTGGGGTGTAATGTAAACGCCCAGACTTATGCCTGTTTTCACCACCAATCCCTAACTGTAATTGAAACCTAAAAATTTAAGTGGTAATTTCAGTTTCACTACCGCTTAAGTATCACTTAAACTCTTAAGAGTGTAGTCTTAAGTGGGCATTAGAGAATGTATTGCATTAGAGAAAGAAGTAGAGGTAGATTTCCATTCCTGCAAACGATACATACCTCCCTTGATATATAATACTTTTCAGTATGGGTATTCAAATATCAGTCGTTGTAGTTTTGATATAGGTACTTGCTGTTTTAGCAGTGTCTCATATAAACACTCATTCCTGCTTTCCGCCATAATTACGTACCACTTTTGAATCTTTCATATTCAACATACATAACACGTAAACTTGTTGGGCGGTTTTCGTATGCGTACTTTTAAATATTTATATAACTCGTCGAACACTCCATTTATTACCTAAAAGCTAAGCTAAATTAAAAATATTTCTTTGTTGACTACTTTCCATCTACACATGAACTTAACCAACAATTACGAAAATTGTTATTCATTTCTCAGAAAAATAATTAAATAGTGTACAAACATATCAGATGTTTGTACAATGATAAGTACATACAGTTCATCCTCTCTAACCTGTAATTAAGGAAATTGCATTAGATAAAAGAATAAACAAATAGCTTTGGGGTTGGGAAATAAATTTTGGTATTTGTTTGTTACCTCGTTCTGCTTGTTCTCATCATTTATTTACTACCTCTCCCATATTACACATTTATTATTATTTTATGATAGGAAATAAGCGTTTATCGTGATACTTTAATACCAAAACATTATCCTTATATCACATAACCTTACGCTTATAAGGAAAATCGGCACACCAATTTCATTACACAAAGCATACATATCGATATTTTTATACCAAACTCTAAATAGTGTACGCGCTTATACCATGCTGATACAAAACAACGTAATACTATTTATCAACAGCCAAACGCCAGGAGGAAGCGACAGCCTCAAAGCGCACAATACGCGCTCTGAGCGGCAGCCAATAAATTTCCATACAAAAGTGGTTTATGGGCGCCTTAAGTCATTACACGGTGATTCTTTGAAGCGGGACAAGAACACTTTAAACGATGCAGAAAGGGCCCGAATTCGGTTGATTAAATTTGTATTAAAAAGCGACGCTTTATATTAGCCAGCGCTTACCGTGGCGGGGAACTGCCTCGTCACGAAACTAATAGATCAGAATCTTTAAAGGCAAAGTGGTCCCGATTTATAGAAGTTAATGCAACAACGCGTGTTAACGATGCCCGATTCAGTGATTGATGGATTCCGTGAAAAATGTAGAGCACGTCGCTTCTGTGGAAGCCGTTTATTAATAATGTATTTTTTTTTTTTAATTTATGATAATTACTTACTAATATCTTATAGTCGACTGAGGACAGCGATGTGATTTATTATGCGTTATGTTTTTATTTTAGTAAAACTAGTCAAATATTAATTTGAAATGCATAAAATCGAATGGAACTTATAACTGACAAATAACAATTTCCCTGCGGCACATTACTAAAAGATTCGGTGGAATGACGGGAAAGTACATTATAA